GGAGGGCCGGGGGGCCGCAGCGACGCCCCTGAGTGCGGCGCCGCGATGCCGTGGTTCCCGGTGAAGAAGGTCCGCAAGCAGATGAAGTTGCTGCTGCTGCTGCTGCTGCTCACCTGCGCCGCGTGGCTCACGTACGTGCATCGGAGCCTGGTGCGCCCCGGACGCGCGCTGCTGCGCCAGCGGCTGGGCTACGGGCGAGGTACGCGAGGGGCGCGCGGCTCGAGAGCCCAGGCCTCCCACGTCGCGCGGGTCTGATTGCCCCGAGCCCCCGCCCGCCAGCTCCTCCCGGCTCCGTGATGTTGGGGGAGGGGTCGCGGCTCTGCGCGGCGGGACGGCTGATGACGTCAACAGTGACACGAAGGACCCTCTTGGGGAGCATCCCTGACCTGTGAGGATCCTGGAAATCGGGCTTGGACCTGGTAGTGATGAGTTTAACAATGGGCCCTTGGGGGAATCTCTGTCCCCGGCCAAGAGGCCTGTCAGGCCCTTGCTTACTTAGCAGGGCCTCAGTTTCCCCGTCAGCTGGGGATGTGGGGATGGCACCGAGGGATCCAGCTGACCAGAGTGGCCAGAACAGTTGGAAGCCCTGGGTACACCTGTGACTGTGGACTGAGGTGTCTCTGTGCTGGGGACCAGTGCTAACTGGAGTGGATGAGCCCAGTCCCCATGCTTACATCTAAGAGTGGGCAGAGGGTGCACCCACAAACAAAAGAAGTCAGGCCTTGGCAAGCCCAGTGGGGGGGACACAGGGGCGGGGGACCCCTCTGGAAGATGGTGGCCTTTGACTCAGGCTTTGGGGGAACAACTCCAGAGTGGGGTGGGCAGTGATGACAACCTGGTGGAAGAAGGCCAGGGAATGAACCTGGGGAACCCCAGCCTGGCAGGATGGTGCCCAGCCAGGCTGTCTCTGATCCCTCTGAAGGAGGGTGGTGAACTGGGGATCTAGAGGAAAGAGAACAGGTGTCTCTCCTCCCAGAGACTCAGAGCAGTGACATAGACTCATGACATCCTGGTTCATTCCACCTGATGAATCCAGAGCTCCCTGTTCACTCGCCACTCCTGCCTCCTACCTGCAGAAGCCCCTTTGCTTTCTCATGTGCCTGGCACCTGTTTTCTACACAGTCCATCAAAACCTGGGCCAGAGATCTGGAGCAGATCCCAGCTCCAAGATAGTCTGTGCATCATCCCAACCCATATACCTTATAGCTGTGACACCTTCAAAAACAACCTGGCACAACTTACCCCTAAAAGAAGCCTCACCCCAGCAACCAGTGGGACCTGTAACTGACCCAGTACCCAATAAACCCAGCCCCCATCAGCCACCATTGTGGGTTTCTCAGCAGCCACAGGCTTCCCCCAGTCTGACTTCCTGAGCAGCTGAGTCTGACTGAGCCCCATAGGTGAGGGGGTGCAGTGGGGGTCAGAAACAAGAAACCCCACTGCTAAAGGTTGGAACCTTAGGTGGGTAGGACTCCTCCTAGGTGGGTAGGAGCTGTTCTGGATCCTGGGGGTGGGGGGGTTGTGCAGATGGGGCCCCAACCTACATACTCTGGGCTGGATGCCCAGTCTCCTGTCTGGCCACCTTGGCTCCCATCAAGCACTGCAAGGCTTGTGAGAAACTGAGCAGCTGCATGTGCCCCAGGCTTTCCTGACCATTTGATCAATGGTCAGTACAGACAGCATTTGGTGGGTGTCCACAGCCTGTGCTTATAGATTTGTTCAGGTGAGAGTAGAGCAGAGACCTATCTGTTATGTTCTTTGTGCTGGGGCTCAGTCCCTGCTGGACAGTGGCAGCATCATGGGCTGAGACCCCAGTACAAAAGACTACCAGTGTACTCCAGATACCTGGACTTAGCTTGGTGGGCTATGGTCATCTGGGCCAGGGTATGAGAATTTGGCCAGGAGTCGCCTCCCAGGTAGTCAGGAAAGGCTCTGGAATATGGAGCAAGTAAGAGGCACTGCAGGAATCTGAAAAGGGAGGAGACCACAGGCAGCCCCTCACCTAGAGACCTAGATAGGCCAGGCCTATCTATTGTCAGTTGTACAGGAGTGAAAGCTTCTGAGGTCTAGACTGAAGGACAGCCATGGGTGCCAGGCTTGACTCTGAAACAGAAGAAATTCTTGAATTCTATGTCTCTTGGTGGAAGCACCAGGAAGGGAAGAACTGGGGTAAAAGTGAAGCCCCCCCAACCCTTGGAGGCTCAAATCCAGAGGTGTGAGCACCCAGGGATGCAGTGGGTGGACACACAGCTTAGGAAGAAAGTACAGAGATGGTCTGTCCCAAACTTGAGAGGCAGGAGCAGGCTGTGAACATGTCTTTATATAGTTCTGGGAGACCAGGCATAATGACACACATTTTTAATCCCAGCATTCAGGAGGCAGAGGCAAGCGTACCTCTGTGAGTTTAAGGCCAGCAGGGCTACTTAGTGAGATTGTCTCAAAAAAACATAAAGCAAAACATAGTTCTGGAAAGAGTCAAGAGGCAAACACCTTGCACATGGGAAAAGCATTGAGGGTGCTGGGCCATCTGGAGTTTCTTTTCAGTACAGATTCACACCAGCCTGAGTGCATATATAGCCCTGCTTCCTACTTCCGCTAGGGGTGGGTCAGGGAAGAGGTGATGCACTGCCCACCCAAGGTGGGTTGTAAAAAAAAGCCCTAAAATGAGGGAGTAGAAGTGCAGGTGCTTTGGCAGCAAACTTTCCTGCCCCGTTCTAACCCTGTGGAATGAGGCTTCCTGCTCCCACCCCTCATCCCTCAGCTGACCCCCGACAAAGCCTCTGGTCTTGGAGAAAGGCTAAACCCAGACTTCATATGCCACTGCAGAAGTTGAGAAGCTGACTGGTGTGACAGATGGTCGGGGTGTCCCAGTGGTATCATCCACGCAGAGGGCAGAGGATTCTAGCGAAAGTCATGAGGACGAGCAGGTGGTGAGCAGCAACCAAAGAAAAAACTGCATGTGCACGAAGATACTCTCATAACTGGGCAGATGTGGTGGTGGTGGGGGAGGGGTGTGAGCTTCAACATCCCAGCCTGGATCCTGTCGGGTTGCTATGAGTATGTGTTGTGTCCTGTAGGTGTCTACATGTCTGCCTAGGCAGACATGCTGAGGGTGTCTGTGTGGAGAGAACTTAGGGTGATGTGACTAGGTGTAAAAGGAGTGGGGCATGAATTTCTCTTGCTGTGTGTGCCTGGATGTATTGTGTGCAGTTGTGAGGCTGCCTGCCCTTTCAACTCTGACTTGTCTACCCTTTCTCTCTGGTAGCCTGAGGGGCGGGTCCCAAATATGCTGTTTCCTAGAGGGGCTAGAAAGCTACCCCCTCTGAACCTCACCCACCAGACACCCCCGTGGCAGGAGGAGGTGAGCTCTACTGGGCCGGGCTGATCTGGGTGGGCTGGGAGGAAAGGTAGATCAGACTATAACAACTAAAGTGGCTTCTGATCCCCAGTTCAAGGGGCAGGTGAACCTGCATGTGTTTGAGGACTGGTGTGGAGGCGCTGTGGGCCACCTAAGAAGGAACCTGCACTTCCCGCTGTTTCCTCATGTGAGTGCCTCAGAAGAAACTGGGCAAGCGGGTGGGCCAGGCGCACAGTGAGTCATTGGTTGCTGCCCCATCCTCAGACTCGCACTACTGTAAAGAAGTTGGCTGTGTCCCCCAAGTGGAAGAACTATGGACTCAGGATTTTTGGCTTCATCCACCCAGCCAGAGATGGTGAGTAGGCGGGGTGAGCCAGTGGTAGGAAGTCTTGAATGATCAGCTCCCTGAGCCCCTGTCCTGTGGACTAGGAGACATCCAGTTCTCTGTGGCTTCTGATGACAACTCTGAGTTCTGGCTGAGCTTGGATGAGAGCCCAGCGGCCGCTCAGCTTGTGGCCTTTGTGGGCAAGGTAGGTTCTACCCTCCTGGCCCAGAGCTTCCATCAACACCCACCTATCTTCACTGGGCCTCCTGCAGCCTCTTAGAAATATGTACTGGATGGGTCAGATGCATGCAAAGAGAACATGAACACCTCTCTGTTCCCTTTGTATCACCCCTAGACTGGCTCTGAGTGGACAGCACCTGGAGAATTCACCAAGTTCAGCTCCCAGGTGTCAAAGCCCCGGCGGTGAGTGACTGAGGGTATATACATTCATGTGTGTATGCACAATATGTGTTGGCATGTGAGAGGGAGGCTGGGTATCACCTAACCCTGGGCACTCTTGCACACACTACACAAACACTGTCTTCTTGAAGGACCAGCCCGGAGGGATATGAGAGTTCTTCCCCATTCTCTGGGCTTTCAATCTGTCTGATGAGGGACAAGCCCTGACTCCTTTATGTCAACAGGCTCATGGCCTCCCGGAGGTACTACTTTGAACTGCTTCACAAGCAAGATGACAAGGGCTCAGACCATGTGGAAGTGGGTGTGAGTGTGGCCTACCCTCCAGAGGAGCTCCAAAGACCACAGCTCCCCTCCCCATCCATCTCTTGCCTTTGTAGGACAGTCACTGCAGACTGGTCCCCACCTTGAAGGATTTCCAGTGTGGGAGACAAAGCAGATAATCAGGGACATGGGCCCGGACAGAAAGAAATGCTCTGCCTGCTGGGTATGCAGAGGGGCTGCACTGATGAGTGGACCTTCACCAGGGAACATGGAAGGGAAAGGGTTCAGAGAAGAAAGTGCAATGTGAATTCTATACATTGAGAACTGGTCCTCATTTTCAGCATCTTCTGGGACCCCAAAAGGTCTGGTAGCCAGATCAGTCCAGGCCTACTGTGCTGTGTTGGACTGTTCAGACTATCCCTAGAGTGAGGCAATAGGATTTGCATGCCAAGAATGCCTCTGGCCACTGTAGAGAGATAGGGAGCTAGGAGAAGCCACCTCAGGAGTGTATTGGTTACTTTAGTGATTATTGTAACAAAATAACTGGTAAGAAGCAACTTAAAAGGAAGGAGGGATTAATTTTGTCTAGCAGTTTGAGGTTACAGTTTATCAAGAAGGGGAAATCATGGTTGCAGGAGTGTGAGGCAGCTGGTCACATTGTATCCATAGTCAGAAGCAGGGAGAGATGAATGTTGGTGCCCAACTCACTTTCTATCTTTTATTTAGTCTTGGACCCCAGCCCATGGAATAGTACTGCCCACATTTTAGAGTCTTCTCACCTCAACTAACATAATCTAGATAATCCCTCACAGACATGCCTAGAGGCTTGTCTCCAGTAATTCTAGATCCTGTCAAGTTGATAATCAGTTTTAACCATCACAGGGAAGAAAGATAGGTCATTGAGAGGTAGAAAGGAGGGTTCTACAGAAAGACAGAGAAGAGTCTGGAGGTTGAGAGACAGTGGCCACAGAAGGAAGAGGGTTCTGAACTACAGCAGTATAGGCTATCATGTCACCCCAACTCAACAGGGTAGAGACTGAGTTTGGATGGCCCTGGGGAAGCAAAGGGAGTTGGTATAAAGGCCCAGGATGAGCTGGCAGCACAAGTACAGAGTCAGCTCTGGAGGAACCCCAACTTGAGAGGGATGGGAGAAGGGCCACATCTACAAAGGATACTTGGGAACAACCTGGAAGTGGGTCATGGAAAGGGCCACTAGGACTAGGGCTGGGGAAGAGTCCAGCAGTGACCTTAGGAAGGTACCATGTAAAACCAGAGAGCAGGTAGGGTCAGAAGCCATAGCCAGCAAGCCAGGAGTTGGGAGGGAGTGAAGAAGGGAGGAAAGAAGGAAAGGTGGGTGGGCCTACCTGCCCCTGGGGCCCTTCAGTCTTCTGAACCTTCTACCAAATACCTCTTTAGGTCCCTCTCCCATCCACACCCAAGCCTCTTGTACCCTTTGAGGGTTTTTGTACTCTAGTCCCCAACCCCTGATCTTTGGAACCAGGACCCAGCCTCTTTCTTATCCCTACCCCCCCAGTGGCGAGCTTTCCTGCCTGGTCTGAAGTTCGAGGTCATTGGCTCTGCTCACATTTCCCTCTACACAGGTGCGGGCTGACAATTTCTTTATGGGAATGGCTGGGTTTGAATGGATGGGCTCAGAGTGGGGATGGGGAAGGGTAGAGTGCAGCTCCAGATACTCTTCTGCTCTCAGATGAGTCAACTCTGAAGATGGACCATGTAGATCATGTACCTCAGTCTCCTGCCAGCCATGTGGGGGGATACCTGCCACAGGAGGAACCGAGTGCCGACATGCTACGGCCGGACCCCAGGGACACCTTCTTCCTCAGTGAGAGCAGGATCCAGTGGAGGGTGAGGTCAGAGGGGGGTGAGGGCCAGGGAACAAAGTGACTGTCCCTTCTACAGCTCCTCGAATGGAACCTTCAAGCCTGGAGAACGTACTGGAGCCCTGTGCCTATGCGCCTACCTACATCCTCAAGGATTTTCCCATTGCCAGATACCAGGGACTACAATTTGTAAGTGCCCAGCAAGGAAGACTTCCTAAGGCTGCCCTCTCCCCAAGTCCTGTCCTAAGCCTCTGGCCCCACCCCTAGGTGTACCTGTCCTTTGTTTATCCCAATGACCACACCCGACTCACTCACATGGAGACAGACAATAAATGCTTCTATCGTGAATCCCCACTATACCTGGAAAGGTAGGTGGGTGGGGAATCCCATCAGAAGGGGAGGGACCTCAATGAGGCAGGTGTCTGATGCCCTCTCTCCTTCAGGTTCGGGTTCTATAAATACATGAAGATGGACAAGGAAGAGGGAGAGGAAGATGAGGAGGAAGTTCAGCGTAGGGCCTTCCTCTTCCTCAATGCAGATGGTAAGTGTCCCATACCATTTCTGTCCCCCCAGCCTATCTGCCTGGTACTGCCTGCTTACCATACACTTTCCACAGACTTCCTGGATGATGAAGATGAACAGGAACTGCTAGACAGTCTTGAGCCCACTGATGCATCCCTGAGGCAGAGCCACAATACCCCAATCACAGCAGCCTCCACTAAGACTGCAGCCACCCCCACTCCGCCTACAACCAGTCCCCTGAAGGAGCAGATCCCCAGACACTCCAGGGCACTGAATTGGGCCCCACGTCCATTGCCCCTCTTCTTGGGTCGAGCGCCACCTCCCCGAACTGCAGAGAAATCTTCCTCAAAGGTGTACGTGACCAGGGTGCGGCCTGGACAGCGGGCTTCCCCAAAGGCACTTCGAGACCCACCATGGCCACCCTTCCCCGGTATCTTCGTGCATCCCAGACCACTGCCCAGAGTACAATTACGGGCACCCCCACATCCACCTCGGCCTCAGGGCCATAGGACCAGTGGCTTCCAGGCCACAGAACTAAGACCCCTAGTCAGGGCACAGGCCACCCAGAAGGACCAGGCACGTGCACAGGGACTCACGGCACCAACGGTGGACTTGAACTCCTCTGCAGAAGCACAGCCTGTGACTTCTTTCCTGAGCCTATCTCAGGTGTCCAGGCCACAGCTGCCTGGAGAGGGTGACGAAGGGGAGGACGATGGGGCCCCTGGTGATGAGGCTGCATCAGAAGACAGTGAGGAAGAGGAGGAGGCCGCAGGCCGGCCGCCGGGCCGCTGGCATGAAGGTGCCATTGACTGGCAGCGTACATTCAGTGTGGGCTCCGTGGACTTCGAGCTGCTGCGCTCTGACTGGAACGACCTGCGCTGCAACGTGTCTGGGAACCTGCAGCTGCCAGAGGCTGAGGCAGTGGACGTGGTGGCTCAGTACATGGAACGGCTTAACGCACGCCACGGCGGGTATGGGGCGGGTTGCCGGGAGGAGATGCCGACCTCCATTTGGGCTCTCACGCCTCCCTTGGTACTCACCAGCACTCTGATCCCCTTGCCCCTCGCTAACAACTAGTACCTTACTGCTGTTTTGTCCAAGTTGAAGGGCTCCCTGGAACCCCACTCAAGGCTAGCTTCATATCCTTTCACTGCCCAGTCCCAAGTCTGCTATCTTGAACCTAGCTAGACCCAAGGATAGATCCAAACTACAGGGATTACTAGCCAGTCACAGCTAGACACTGCAAAGACAGCCTTTTCCACAGACCCAAGAGTCAAGCTCAGGATTCCCAGACCCCTCCTCTCCCTGTACAGCACTGTAGAGCCTTCACTAGAGGTCTATGCCTGACTTTGTGGGGAGGACAGGGCTTCTGGCCCCTCTGGCCTCCCAGGTCTCAGGAATCCAACTTGTGTGTACCCCATATTGAGGGGGGAAAAGGACCCTAATTTATCTTTGAGAGAGTTCTCAGAAGAGGTCATACCTTTCATTGCCATCCTTTAGGGAAGGTAGAACCTCTAGACCTTGAGGACACCCTAGCAATCAGGATAGACAGCCAGGCTCAACAGAAAGTTATAAACAGGGGTTGGCCCCCTCTGGGTTGTACACAGGTGTGTTGCTGCTTCAGAGGGGAAGAGCATGACAGTCCTTGTACAGGGCAGTGATGGGGTGGCCTGGGACCCTCCCACCACTAGGCCATGCTCCTGGGTAGCTCTAAGTTTCCTTAAAGCAGTTCATTGTCCCATGACCTTCAGGGAGCTATCCAGCCTAAGTGGTCATGGCTGTGATCCTGCTTTTGCCCATCTGGGTGTGGGTGGCCCCAAGGAGTGACCAAGAGTGTTTGAGAGCAGAAAGTTGGGTGGAGCAGGTATAGATGAGGAGTCTAGGCCCACCAGAGGTCTCACTGATGGACTCCCAAAGAGGAGCAATGGCTATCACCAGAAGGCAAGAAGCAGAATGAGTAGCCCCAGGCATGAGGAAGACTGCCTGAGGAAGAATGGAGGGTAGTCGGAGAGGGTGAGAAAGAAAGGGAAAGAGCCCATGGGAGGACCAGCAGCTTCCTCCTGACAGTGCTGTAAGAGGATAACCATCACAGGGAAGGATTGAGAGGCCACCTGGGAGATGGCTGTCAGAGGCTCACCATCCCCTAGTGTAGTCTCCAGTACTTCCTGCTGGGCTGGAGAATGGAGGTGCTGGCAGGTTAGCCACCAAGTAGGAACTCCCAAATGGGTGGCAGGTTTAATACGGTCCACTGAGTTCAGCTGCATCGTGACAAAGGCTGGGTGGGGTGGAGCCGAGGCTCTTGGTGGCTGACCAGCTCTGCCCCGCAGGCGCTTTGCACTTCTGCGCATCGTGAACGTGGAGAAGCGCCGAGATTCTGCTCGCGGAAGCCGTTTCCTCCTGGAACTGGAGCTGCAAGAGCGCGGGGGCAGCCGCTTGCGCCTGTCAGAGTATGTCTTCCTGCGACTGCCTGGAGCCCATGTCGGGGATGAAGACGGAGAGAGTCCTGAGCCCCCTCCAGCCTCCTCAGCCCACCCTGATGGTCGTCCGGAACTCTGCCGGCCACTGCACCTGGCCTGGCACCAGGATGTCATGGTTCACTTCATTGTGCCAGGTGCTCGAACCTCTTGGGCAGACAGGCTCCAGAATACCTTGGGGAAGGAGGAGAATGTTAATGCCAAGGGTCAGGGGTGGCTGGGAGGAGAGTATCCCCAATGGGGAGCCATGGCAGTCCTGCCAAGTTGGCTTAGTGGTGCCCCCTCCTCCAGTGAAGAATCAGGCGCGCTGGGTAGCACAGTTTCTGGCAGACATGGCTGCACTGCATGCACACACCGGGGACTCACACTTCAACATCATCTTAGTGGACTTCGAGAGTGAGGACATGGACGTGAAGCAGGCCCTGAGCGTGGCACAGCTGCCCCGGTAATGATGCCCCCATCACCACCTAGGTGGTGGGTTCTCATCACCCCCCCCCAACCCTCCCGGGCTATGTCTCCTATGACTGCTTCACTCCCCCAGGTACCAATACCTGAGACGAACAGGAAACTTTGAGCGTTCTGCAGGCCTGCAGGCTGGAGTGGATGCAGTGGAGGTCTGTGGGCCAGTTGGGCTTAGGGGAGAAAAACGAGGGTTCTGAGGAGATCACCTTGGGGAGGTAGTGAGTAGGACTCAGACATCCCAACTTACAGGACCCCAGCAGCATCGTTTTCCTCTGTGACCTGCACATCCACTTCCCACCCAATATCCTGGACAGCATCCGCAAGCATTGTGTGGAGGGCAAGCTGGCCTTCGCCCCTGTGGTCATGCGTCTGGGCTGTGGAAGTTCACCACACAACCCACATGGTAAGGCCCCCAAGTGCCGCCCCCCGGGGGGAATGGTAGGTTACCAAAAACACCAGGGCAAAGTCCAAGTCCAACCTCAAGGTCCCCATCAATACCCCCATAGTACCAGGTCATGCAGAATTCAAAAGAACCTCCCCCTGTGGGCCTATGTGCCACTGGATGATGATCAAATACCAGAGGGTGACCCCTTAAGAGTTCCCAGAATAAGGCAGCATTTTGGGATCCCTCCTGAGGTCCCCTAGTCCTCCCTGGGGAAAATGCCTTAAGGACTACTTCCTGATGGTCACCCTTCCCGCCCCAAGGTTACTGGGAGGTGAATGGATTTGGCCTTTTTGGGATCTACAAATCGGACTTTGACCGAGTGGGAGGCATGAACACTGAGGAGTTCCGAGACCAGTGGGGAGGCGAGGACTGGGAGCTTCTGGACAGGTGACTGCCCTTCCTAACCTCAGACTGAGACACCACCTCCATGGGTGACAGGGCCCCACATGCCAAACAGACCTTACCATCCCAAGATCATATTAGGCCCACAAAGACAATTCTACCCACTCCACTCCCCAAACCCCTTCCCAACCCCAGGCTCCTGCAATCTCAGGGCAGCCCTGACCTACAGTATCAGAACCAGGGTTTGACATTCCATCCACCCACCCCAGGGTCCTGCAGGCAGGGCTAGAGGTGGAGAGGCTTCGACTGCGACACTTTTACCACCACTACCATTCCAAGCGAGGCATGTGGGCCAGACGCAGCCGCAAGGGCTCCCGTGCAGAGTGAGCCTGAAGTCCTGGAAGCCTTCCCAGCCACTGGGTCTTGAGGCAGCAGCTGAAATCAGAAACTCAGAGCCTGATCTAGGCTTTGCTGCCACCTGTGCTGGACCCCCAAAGCCTCTTCTGTGGCCCTAGATAGGCAGCCTTCATGGTGGGGTGGGAACCTTGGTCCCCATACTCCCTGATGATTTCTGTGAAATTTTCTGTAGAAATGACATTGTTTTCAGAATTTACAAGAGTTCTGTCTGTTCTGTTTTTTATTCAGAATGAAATGAAATATTTTTTTTAGTTCTGACTTGTTCTCTGTGACTGTTCTCTTGGGAGGCAGAGGCCTGGTCACCAGGGTGGCGCAGGGTATTGCAGCCCCCCATCCCCTACTCCCCATCGTTACTTCTGGTTCCACCTGCTTTCTATGGAGTCTGGCTACTAAGAACAGACACCACAAGAGACTTTCCCACACAGGGCTATTACCCAGCCAGCAGATGTGGAACACCAAGTCTCCAGTGTCCCTTGATTTGCCCACTTCACAGGTAAGAAGGACCCACACAGCCAGCAGAGACCTGCTAAAGTCCCCAGTTACTCACAATGCCTTCTCTATGTCTAGTTGAGATGAATTGTCCCCACTCACAGACATTTCACAAGAAAAGCACTGGTTTAAGAACCTATGCTACCAACCAAGTGTTGGTGACACACACCTTTAATCCCAGCACTTACTTGGGAGACAGACACAGCCAGTTTTCTGTGAGCTCAAGGCCAGCCTGGTCTACATAGCAAGTTCCAGATCACCCAGGGCTACATAGTGAGACCCTGTCCTAAAATAAAATAAAACCTTTTAATTTTTTTAAAGGCACAGTAATGCACACCTATAATCCTAGCACTTAGGTGGCCAAGGCAGGAGGATCTTAAGTTTGAGGCCAACAAGAGCAAAGTAGCAAGACCATGTGTCAAAGGAAGAAAAAATGCGTGACGCTAAGAAAAAAAATTTTAACATATGGAAAGGAAAAGGGAACCAAAGTAAAAGGCAAGTAAAACACATACATCAGAGTTGTCTCAGAGGCAGAAGAACTACAGAATCTCACCAGTGGGCTGTGCTTACACCTCAGTTTATAGATTCATGCTAAGGAGTTTTCCATTGGGCACCAGCCATGGGTCAGAACTTCTTGGAGAACTTACATCCTAGCACAGCACAGAAGCAGCATCCAACAGATGCACTAGTGTAATGTCTGATGTGAGCTTTTAGAGAAAAATAAAGCTACTGAAGAAAGTTAGCAAATCTGAGTAATAAATCTAGGTGATGCTGCATTTGTAAACTGAGTGGTCAGGAAAAGTAAGCCTGAGGAGGTCTTCCCCATCCCTGGGGGCAGGGAATGGATAGACATTTGAGGAAAATTTAGAAAATCAACTGATGGTGAAAATAATGGAAACAGAAATTATTGGCAGCACTTCAGGAGGAAATGGGAGCGTGTAATAAAATATAGAAATAAAAGCCACTTTAGCATTTGAAATGTAGCCAAGTGGTAGGTCCACTTGACTAGCATCCACAAATCCCTGGGTTTTGTCCTCAGCACACACACACACACACACACACACACACACACACACACACATCTTTGGGCTGGAGATGGCTCAGTAGTTAAGAGCACTTACTGCTCTTCCAGAGGACCTGAGTTTAGTTCCCAGCACCCACATCAGGCAGCTCAAAACCACCTATAACGCCAGCTCCAGGGGCTTTGATGCCCTCTTCTGGCCTCTGCAGGCATCTGCACTCATGTGCATATACCCACAGATAGATACACATGTATACATAGTTAAAGATACATTTTTGTTTTTCAAAAACTAGCTATTTCAAAAATGAAATTTCACAGAACTAAATGGAAAGTAACAGATAAAAGCGATCTAGCCATGGTGGCATTCATCTGTAATCCCAGCATTCAGGAGGCTGAGGAAGGAAGACTGTCACAAGTTAGAGGCAATCACTGGTCTACATAGTGAATTCCAGGCCAACCAGAGCTATATAATGAGATCTTTTCTCAAGAAACCAAACAACACAGGGCTGAAGGGATGGCTCAATGGTTAAGAGCACTGACTGCTCTTGCAAAGGACCCAGATTCGGTTCCAGCAGCCACATGGTGACTAACAACCATCCATACCTTCAGTTCCAGGGATCTCACACCCTCTTCTGACCTCCAGGGCACTGCATGATGCAGGTACACTTACATGCAAGCAAAAACTCATACACAAAATACCAATAATAAAATATTTTCAAATGTTTTTAAAAAGAGCATTTATTGCTCTTGCAAAAGGACCCAAATCCAGTTCCCCAGCACCTACACTGGGTGGCTCACATCCACCTATTACTCCAGCTCCAGAGGGATCTTAAGCCTTTGACCACCTTGGGTACATGCACTCATGTGCATATACACACACATGCACAATTTTTAAAAAATAAATATTTTTAAAGCCCAACAATGATGAAAGTGACCCATGAAAAGACAACAGATGACAGGGGCTGGAGAGATGGCTCAGTGGTTAAGAACACTGACCGTTCTTGCAGAAGACCCGGGTTCGAATCCCAGCACCCACATGGCAGCTAACAACTGTCCGCAACTCCAGTCCCAGGGGATCTGACAGCCTCTTCTGTCCTCCTCCTTGGGCATTGAACAACATGGGTGCACTTACCTACATGCAGGCATCACACTCATACACATAAAATTAAAAAATAAATATTTTTTAAGACAACAGATGACAAAACACAAGTAGAAGATCCAAGAGGAAAGATGAAAGAAAAAACTTTCCCAGAATAAATAGAGGCCAGATTCAAAGAAAACACTATACATAACCAAAAGTGACCAATGCATTTGCAAATGAAGTCACTGGGTTTCCAGGTTAGAGCTCTATGGGCATCATAGAGTGGTGGGAGGCCCTGCTAACTTGAGAGGTGGCCAGCTGTGGAACTCAACAAGATCTTTGCTAAATCCTGATGATGGGAGTGAGCCTCAAGTGGTTCTAGCATACATGCTGCTTGGGTATGGAGGCAGCTGGCAGGCTCTCTATAAGCATTCACAAGGGCTCCATAGAGGTGGAGGCATCAGGAAGAGATTTATAGAACCAAAGAAGCAGTCTCTAAACCAGACTAAAGCCCCACCACTAAGAGAAAGCAGACAGCCCCCTCAGAGGAAGTGCCCAGGAAGTGGCCCAGACCTAGAGAGGGGACTGTCAGGAACTCCACCAAGACCCCATTCTGCCAGCTAGTACCACTCCAGGTCTCCCCTGTTTTACTGTCACTCATGGTCAGAAATGCCTCTAGACACCCTGGCTTGCTTTATAACTTCTGGAAATTCATTTAGTCTTATGGAGCCTCAGTTTCACCATCTATAAATGAAGGTAGTCATAGCTCCACCCTCCTGGAGTTTCTGAAAGGATTAAGGGCAGAGTGTGAACAAACCATTCATCGCCCTGCCTAGTACTTCTTTTTTGGAGTCAGCATCAGTCGGCCCTCTAGGCACAATCACTGCCATGGGGCAGTGCGTCCCTCCCTCGCCCCTTCCTTCCTTCCTCTCCTTAATTCCATCTCTTTACAGAGGTTAATACACCACACACACACACACACACACACACACACACACACACACACACACATACACCACACACACACACACACATGAATGGAGCGCAATACACACACACACACACACACACAAGCATAGGTGTTCCCGTGCTTTACCTCATTGCTGTGTTACTCTTTGGTCCTTGGTTATGATTTAGGGGGTCTCTGCCACAGACTGGCCACTACTCCACACTGCTCTCATCACTGCACTGTCCAGGAGAGAAAACAGCTCAGGGAGAAGTCCTGACTGTGCCACAGGAGCTTCCCTCAGAAGTGGACCAATACAGATGAACTGATAGGAAGATGGACATGTGTCCACACATACCAGTGACCTAGACCCACACTCTTCAACTACCTTCCACACCCAGGCTGCAAGGCTGGGGCTGGGGCAAGGGCAGAGATGGTAAAACCAGCATATCCATGGGCTAGGGGCAGCATACCCATAGGATGGGGCAGGAGGCTACACTGCCTGTGAAAATGTGGAGTGGCACTTATAGGGCAAGTCCGGGTTGGCTCTGTAGAAGAGGTAGTCTTTGGGTGGGACATGATACTGCTCAGACCACTGGACATCACCAGTGCAGGGACACGCACCTTGGATCTCAAGTCAGGCAGCTCTGCTCAGCCGGTTCGTCAACTCACACCAAGGCAGTGCCAACATGCCCTTACCCTGCCCCTCAGGCTTCATAACCACTAGGAACCTCCTTAACCTGTCTGTACCCCAGCACAGTCAGGAAACGTGTGTTTGAAAGAGTCTGCTATTAACAACCTCACACTCCCCCAGCCTTCCACCTTCTGCTCCTTAGTATGCCATCCTTCACCCTTTATTTCCCCACACGCTCCCAGCCCACATCCTAGCCCTCTGGGTCCTTCCCCTGCTCCTTCCTTAAATGCCCACCTCATCTAGCAAGGGGAGTCCTCCCACTCCTCCCCGACTCAGAGCCCCGAAAAGCCTCCCTACTTTCCACTCCCCTCTCGAAAGGGATACTCGCTGGGGGGTACAGGGGAGGGTAATGACCCACCAAGCTCTTCACTCACCCTTCAGGATCTTGAGGTTCCAGATTATACCAGAGTTTCTGATTATACGAGAGTCAGACATCTGTTTCTAAGCTCCAAGCAAGCCCTCCCTCATGCATCAGACCACTTCCTCCTCTAAGCCCTGCCATATCCTTCCCACCCTTCCTCCTCAGTGGCTCCAGAGAGATGGCGAAACTGAGGGGACACTGGTCACAGGGGTCAGAAAAAGACCCAAGTGTGGGACTGATAGTCATGGGGACAGGCATTCCTGATCCTGCCAAGCCATACAGCCACAGACTTTTTAGGGACACTGAGCCCCAGATGTGGTGGTCTGTGGCCTGGTGAGTGAAAAGTGGGTATAGTGCTCAGTCCCCACGTCCTTATGAAAACTGATCACAGCTGCAGCCCTCCTCTGCCGAGGGGAGGCCCTGGAGAGGCCACAGGCTGACTCTAGGCGCCATGGAGGCTGTCTCCACACCCACTGGGTGCCTCCTTCCCATCTGGCTCTAACCATACCTAAGCCCCCTACAGCTCTGCGTGGTTCCAGCCCTCCACTGTGTACTCTCCTGGAACCCTTTCTTTGTATGCTCTGCCCCAGCCTAGCTGCTGCAGAACTCTGGGTGAGCCTGGTGCATGCAGGGCGGGCCTCTGCCGGGCCAGGCGTGTGCCTCCAGGCCGCGCAGCACTGCACAAACTTGTCTCCCGGGATATTTCCACACGAGACACGTCTCCCAGGGAAGCAACCGGTCTGATGAGATGGGTGTGCAACATTCCCATCCCGCCCTCGGTGCCCCCACAGTACCATCTCCAAGCAGAGGCTGTTGCCCATAAGAGCTGGGCTCTGATGGAGCCCACCACAGGAGCACCGACCAGGATGGAGCCCAGGACGAGCTGGGTCACAGCAGCTAGAATGAGTCAGGAGGCCAGCAGAATCCAGGCCAGTGGCAGGGTAGGTCTCTTGGCCCTTGCTCCAACCCCTATTACCAGCGAACCCTAACAAGCTCCATTCTGGAGGGGCTTCATCCTCCAAGCTCCATCCCCAATCCCCACTGGCCTCTGCCTTCCACTGACTCTTCCCTACTCTGCTCTGACCTTGTCCCTGATGCTGCTTGCTCCCTCTGAGGGTTCCCCCAGCCATCCTCTGTTAAGGGTATGGCCAAGGGCCTGCCATGAGGGATAGAATGCTGAAAGAGCCTAGGGGCTAGGTCCTGGGAAGAGGCAGAGACTGGGAATGGAGGAATGCCAGAGGGAAGAACAGGGGACATACCAAGGCATCTTGTCCCAAATTCCGGCCCTCTTGAATTTGACCCCTAACATCCCAGTCTGCCTGGATGCCAGGCCTAACCAGTGGTATGCTGAGCTACCTAACAGGGGTGCTTGAAAGATCTTCTACAGACAAACTCTAATGTCCCTCGCTTCCAGCCCTCCCACCTTCTCTTTCCCAACCCCCAACCCCACTCCTCCTGCCCACCCCACCCCCCCCATCCCCAGCCTAGCAGGCGCTGACATGAGCAGAGGCCCCTCTGAGTCAACCCCTTGGGGCAGCCCCGCCTGCTTGCCCTGACTCATATGTTGGGAACGGGCCTCCCACCCCAGCCCTGGGGGGCAGAAGCTGGTGAGAGGTGCCAGAGAGGGCCAAACAACTCTTCTGAGGCCTCTAGAGTGGTGGGGGTTGGGGTGAGTTCCTGGGTCTGCAGCTTACAAGTAGGAATCTATCTGTCACTGATTGATCTGAGTTCCAAGACCCAGACATAGAACCTCGATGAGGTTGTCTTCAACCCTAAAACTACAGCCCTCAAATCGTTTATCCTTACCAGAACCATAAACACTAAACTGTCTTCTTGATGCAAACTCTGCCTGGGCCTTGCCAAGCCTGGGTCTGGCTGTCTGGGAGGCTGCCTGGTCTTTGAAACTCTAGCGCCCCCAAGTTCCAGACTGCGACAACCCTTTCCCTCTGGCTGGGAGTGGCAGGCTCTGGCCTCTCCATTGGTTCCCCATTCTTCACTCATACTCAGAACAATGGCACCCACAGGGCCTGGTCTGGCCTTGTCAGCCTGAGATCAAGTAGAACTCTCATCCCTTTGGTCCTGTCCTAGGTAGGAAAGAAGAAAAGGGAAGACCACGCCATGACTTAAGGACTCAGGGCCTGTTCTTCCGCCCAAATTCCACCTTAAGCAGGCCGTGGCCCCTCCCTCCCACCTGGCCCAGGTGTCCCCGCCCCCAGCCTAGCTCAGGGCTGGGCGGGTGTCTGTCTCTGGGCCAGCTCTAAGCGCGCCAGCCAGGAAGAGACTTTGGGAATCCGGCCTTGAGGGACAAGACCGGGAAAAGGCCCAGGCCTGGTGGGCTGGCCTGTAGCCCCTATCACCATGCAGGACAGTAACTTCCTGCTGTCCGCCCTGCAGCCCGAGGCTGGTGTATGCTCCCTGGCATTACCCTCAGACCTACAGCTGGATCGTCGGGGTGCTGAGGGGCCAGAGGCTGATCGGCTGCGGGCAGCCCGAGTCCAAGAGCAAGTCCGAGCCCGCCTCCTGCAGCTGGGCCAGCAGTCGCGGCACAATGGGGCTGCTGAGCCTGATGGCGCCACCGAGGCTTCCAGAGGTAGGCAAACTCCGGCATGATAGACAACGGGTAATGGTGAAGGTGGCAATGTGGACGGTGGCATCTAGAGGCGACCAGGGCGGGTGTGGCGGTGCCAAGGGCAGAGGCCATACAAGCTCTGGGTTCAGGCCTTGACTCACCTCACTGAGGCCTGTTCTGTCCTGAGTCACCACCACACCCCAGCGGGCGTGGGGAGCAGCCTGGGTGGGGCGTTCCTCCTCCCCAGCAAGGACCCCAGAGCCCACCAGGGACCAGTCCTGGCCAGACCCATCTGCTCCCTTCTGTGGGGTAAGACTGAGGAAGCACTAGGTGAGCGGCCAGGCCTATCTGTCAGCAAACCCGGAACACATTTGTGCACAGCCCCGCAGAACACAGGCTCACTCGCAGTCTCAGATAAGGGCCAGCATCCCTCCTCATGCTATGGAAGTGAGTGGAACAGTAGCATGTAGTGGGGGGTGATCTGGGACACTGCCGGCCTGTCTGGAGCAGGGGCTCCCTGAGGAATTGCAGGGCTAGGCCTGATGGGAGTGACCCAGATAGTCTCCATGAGAATAGCCAGCGGGTACTCCTCAGGAGCACACTATGTGTGTGTTTGTATGTGTATGTGTGCCTGTGTGTATGTGTGTGCCTGTGTGTCTCTGCGTGTGTGTGTGTGTGTGTGTGTGTGTGTGTGTGTGAGATGGTCACTCTGAGCTCTGGATAGTCATTCCAGAACTATCATTTACTCCCTGCCAGGCTATAAAAATAGGGATTAAGTTCAGACAATACAATGAACCTCTCTATTCAGGGGTCCAGACCCAGTTCACAATGATCCACATGATGTCTAGAAGGTCCACTGGTCAGTGGGAGGGGGTTGTCTGGCAAAAGAGCTGGCCAGGAACTGGATTGCTGTCTGAATCTTTCTAAGCCTCAGTCTTACTGGGGCCAAGTTGGTACCCAGGGGTCATGGGATAGGGGAGGGTGCAAGGAGGGGTTAATTACCACCTGACTACCCTACCAATTAGGGGGAGGAGGATAGTAATTTGGGGGTGGGCGTAAGATCCCCAGGCTGGGGTGTGCCCCCAAGTCTGGGCCTCACTAGCGTCAAAGGGTTAACAGCCCCTGCCCAGAAGCCTTATTAACCTGGGTGGGTCTGGGGAACATAAGACTGTCCGCCCCCTGGACAGAGTTTGGGGAGGAGCAAGAGCCCCTTCCCCATACCCATAATGACCCCTGTAGAAGTTACTCTGCCCAGTTAGGCTCTTCATAAGCAAAGATCCTGGCAAAGGCTGAGCCCCACCCAAGGCTTGCCTGTTGTCACATCCCCTCTTGGGATGATTCCTGGCTAGTCCCGTATTCCCCTATCCCTCTACTCTGTACCCACCATCTGTTCATTCAGTTGTCCATGATTCTCACTCATTTCCAACTCTCCTACCCATCCACCTATCATTCCAAGCCTCTGACCAGTCCTCCCTCCCCACTCATCAACCTTTTTGTCCACTGACCATGGAGCTGGGCTGACGCCCTGTCCTCAGCAAATACATAGCTGGATAGGTTGGGTGTGGTCCCTGCCTCAGGCTTTGAGAGGTGGGAGAGGCCATTCCCATCAAGGCAGACTGGTCCAGGAAGAGTGTATCCTTGGCCAGCACAATGTAACTCCCTGTGACTGTGGCACAAGAAGAGCTCAAAGGAGGTCAACATAGTTGGGGAAGACCAGGCTGGCTTCCTGGAGGGGGCCAGGTGTTGTACCTTGGTGGGAACTGGACACTTGATAGAGACTCTGGCACATTCTCCAGGCAGCCCAGAGGTCAACAGGGTGAGTTGTTTGAACTCCTTTGAACAGAGGAGGCACAATTGGGAATGTTGGGGAAAGAGGGCCTACCGGGGCCAACTGGATGAAACAAGCTAAAGCCAGGCATCAGCCCCAGAGTCCACCTGGCCTTCCAACCCTGGGTCTGACAGCACTCTCAGGGTTGTAGACAGAGATTTCTGCAGAAGGTAGGAGTGAAGCCAACACTTTGCCATTTATCATGATGAGGCTGCCATTGTCTCTGTTCACAGGCATGTCCAGGGGTCAGTACCATACCATGCAAACTGGCTTCAGCTCCCGATCCCAGGGCCTGAGTGGAGACAAGACCTCGGTGAGTCAAGGAATCAGCTTTGCAGGCCACACTGAGAGGGAGGCACTATAGGGAAGGCTGGGAGCTCCAGGTCAGATGGGGAGGGTGCCAAGTAAACCACAGATACTTCACTGTGCCCTCCCCTCCTCCCATAGGCCTTCCGACCCATGGCCAAGCCAGCCTACAATTCCACCTCCTGGTCCTCCCGCTCAGCTGTGGACCTGAGCTGTAGTCGGAGGCTGAGCTCTGCCCACAACGGGGGCAGTGCATTTGGGGCTGTGGGGTATGGTGGTGCCCAGCCCACTCCACCCATCCCCACCCGGCCAGTGTCCTTCCATGAGCGTGGTGGGGCAGCCAGCCGGGCCGACTATGACACATTGTCCCTACGCTCACTGAGGCTGGGACCAGGAGGCCTGGATGACCGCTATAGTGTGGTGTCAGAGCAACTGGAACCTGCAGCTGCCTCCACCTATAGAGCCTTTGCTTATGAGCGCCAAGCCAGCTCCAGCTCAAGCCGTGCAGGAGGCCTGGACTGGCCAGAAACAACTGAAGGCCCCCCCAGTCGGACCATCCGTGCACCTGCCATGCGAACCCTGCAAAGATTTCAGAGCAGTCACCGAAGCCGTGGGGGAACTGGGTCAGTGTCAGGGCCTGGCCTGGAGCCTGTGGCCCGAGCCCCATCAGTGCGCAGCCTCAGTCTTAGCCTGGCCGACTCAGGCCACCTGCCGGATGTGCGTGGGCTAGACAGCTATACTGGCCATCGCACCCTACAGAGGCTCAGCAGTGGGTGAGCACCTGGGCTTGGAGCAGGGAGGGAACTATATGTACCACATAGTCTGGCCCAAACCTGAGGTCCACCTGACAACTGACTGACCCCTGGTTCTGCAGCTTTGATGACATTGACCTGCCTTCAGCAGTCAAATACCTCATGGCCTCAGACCCCAACCTTCAGGTGCTAGGAGCAGCTTACATCCAGCACAGGTGCTACAGTGATGCAGCAGCCAAGAAGCAGGTGATGAACCCCACTGACCACCCCTCACTACCCCTCAGTGACTGCTCCAAAGGCCCTGGATCCCCCTGATAATCAGCACTGGACCCCCCATTCTCCCTAACATCTGGTCCTTGGCCCTCCTTGATAATCACCATTGCTGACTGGGCAGATCCTCTCCAAAGCCTCCTTCATCAGAGGAATGGTGGAAATGTCCTGTTTGTATACACGTGTATCACCTGCACCATCTCCAAACACCTACATACATTTGCATACACATATACAGATTTGCATATGCGTGCATACATCTACTTCACCTGTATCACCTGCACCATCTGGATCACCTACATATATGGAAGTCACTTCAATGTACGTGCACAGACGCATGCATTTTCTCAGTCTGCATGTATCCACATACATCTCCATATATGTGCCACAGGCTCGCAGCCTTCAGGCAGTGCCTAGGCTAGTGAAGCTCTTCAACCACGCCAACCAGGAGGTGCAGCGCCACGCCACAGGCGCCATGCGCAACCTCATCTATGACAACGCAGACAACAAGCTGGCCCTGGTGGAGGAGAACGGCATTTTTGAGCTGTTGCGGACACTTCGAGAACAGGATGATGAGCTACGCAAGAATGTCACAGGTACCCTTGTCCTTCTGTCCTCTCCATTCTGTCCTCCTAATCCCCTTCGCTGTCTTCCCCTCCCCCATCCCTTCTCTCCTGTCCTCTCCCTGTCTCCCTTCACTATATTCCCCTCTCCCTTTGTTCTCCACTGTGTCTGTATCTAACCCCTTGCCTTCCCCATCTTGGGCTTTTTCGGGTTGTTGTTTTGATTTTTATTTTTTATATTACTGTTACTTTGTGCTTGTGTGTGTGTATGTGTGTGTGTGTGTGTGTGTACGCATGCATTCATATGGAGGTCAGGTGCTCACACAGCTCAGCACACCTATGGAGGTCAGGACAACTTTTGGGACTCAGTTCTCTCCTTTAACCATGGATTCTGAGTGTCAAACTCAGTCGTACTTTTGCAGCAAGTCCGTTTACCTGCTGAGCCATCTTGCCCACTCATTTGTTTGTAGACAGTGTCTAACTAGCCCCAGTTGGCATGGAACTCATCATGTAGATCATGCTGGCCTCAATCTCATAGAGATCCACCTGACACTACCTCTCAAGTGCTGGGATTAAATGCATGTGCCACCAGGCCAGGCTTGTTTGTTTAAAAATTTACTATTTTTATTTTATGTGTATGAGTGTATTGCCTGCATTTAAGTGCACCCTTGTCATGCAATGCCTGCAGAAGAGGGTGTCAGGTCCACTGGAACTGGAATAAAAGACAGTTGTTAGTTGCCATGTGAGTGCTGGGAACCAAACCCAGATCCTCTGCAAGAGCAGCCAGTGCTCTTAACTGCTGAGCAATCTCTCCAGCCCCCATTTTTTTTTTTTTGTAGGCCAGGGTCTCATTTTGTAAATCAAACTGGTCTCCATTTCACTATGTAGCACAGGCTAGCCATAAACTCATGACAATCATCCTGCTTTGGCCTCCTGAGTGTTGGAATTACAGGTATGAGCCAACATGCCAAACTAAAGTTTTGTTGATGGTGTTTGTTCTCCCTCTCTTCTCCCCTCCCCTGCTCTCCCCCACCCCATATGTGTGTTGTTTTTGAAATAGAGTTCCACCGTGTGGTCCTGGCTGACTTGACTTGCTGTATAACCCTGACTTACCTGGGACTCTGTGTAGACCAGGTTTACCTCAGACTCACAGAGATCTACCTGCAAATTCTGGGATTAAAGGCATGTGCCACCATGCTTGACTATTGTTTTTCAGAGTCAGCCTCTATGTAGTCCAGGCTGGCCTCAAACTCATAGCAATTCTTCTATAGCCTTCTAAATTCTGAGATCACAAATGTGCTCCACCATACCTACAAAACTATTCTTATTTTCCGTGGTGCTGGAGGGGAATTCGGCCTCATGCACACCAGCTGGGCAAGTGTTACATCACAAGTTACATCTTCAGCCCAGGCTCTTTTTAGTCTACTCCTCTCCCAGGCCCTCATGTCCCCAAATCTTGTATTTCTTGCTCGGTTCCTGCCCTCATAATCCCAAAGGTCACACTGAGGACCTCTCCAGTGGGGTTCTAGAGCAAGGCAAGGCACCAAGAAGGGATGGGAAGCCTCCTCCAAATCATCCCAGAGGAGCCAGAAGGGCTACAGAGCTGACCCTGACCACAGCCTTGGTCCCCTCTTACCCAGGGATCCTGTGGAATCTGTCCTCCAGTGACCACCTGAAGGATCGCCTGGCCCGGGACACACTGGAACAGCTCACAGACCTGGTGCTAAGCCCTCTGTCAGGGGCAGGGGGTCCCCCTCTCATCCAGCAGAATGCCTCTGAGGCAGAGATCTTCTACAATGCTACTGGCTTCCTCAGGTGTGCGAGGTGGAGGCACTGGGCCAGGAGATGCTGACAGGAAAGAGCCAAGTGCCAGAGAAGGAGCAAAGAAGCTTCTAGATGAAGCATTTTTACCTGAGGCCTGAATGACAAAGACAGAATTGGCCAGGGCTTCTGGGAGAAGTGGACAGCAGGGCAGAGTTTAGGGGCTAAGGCAAATAGGCCAAGATAGCCACCAAGTATGAATGTCAGAAGACTCTGGAACTGCACTTAACTTTTGTTCAGTGAAGTCCCTTGTCCTGACATCCACCTTCCCAGTTAATTGGGAGATGGGTATGCAGAGAAGGCCCAACAGGGGGGCACAGGGTCAGTCCCAGCTCAGATCAGTGTCCTCACAGAGATCTACCTGCCTGTGCTTCCCAAGTTCTGGGATTAAAGCCATGTGCCAACAAAGATCGATGTCCAAGAATTTCATCTTAGGGGTATTTCAGGGGTCTCTGTTGGGGCTGGGGGAGCTCTGATCTGCCTCCATCTCCAGGAACCTCAGCTCAGCCTCCCAGGCCACTCGCCAGAAGATGCGTGAGTGCCACGGTCTAGTGGATGCTCTGGTCACCTACATCAACCATGCCCTGGATGTGGGCAAGTGTGAAGATAAGGTGAGGGGCAGCTGGTTAGCCTAGGGGGGCCAGGGACTTCAGCCTGCTCTGACCACCCTCCATTCCATACAGAGCGTAGAAAATGCCGTATGCGTGCTGAGGAACTTGTCCTACCGCCTATATGATGAGATGCCACCATCGGCACTGCAGCGGCTTGAGGGCCGAGGCCGCAGGGACATGGCAGGAGCACCACCCAGCGAAGTGGTGGGCTGCTTCACACCACAGAGCCGGCGGCTACGTGAGGTGGGCACAGGCCTGGGAGGATGGGATCAGGGAGTCCCAGCCTGATGTTCTGACCTTAGTTGTATGCCTAGCCCTGGTTGACCCATGCACTTTCCCACTCAGCTTCCTCTCACAGCCGATGCCCTCACCTTCGCGGAGGTATCTAAGGATCCCAAGGGCCTTGAATGGCTTTGGAGCCCCCAGATTGTGGGACTGTACAACCGGCTGCTGCAACGCTGTGAGCTAAACCGGCATACAACAGAAGCGGCTGCTGGGGCACTGCAGAACATCACGGCAGGAGACCGCAGGGTCAGTGGGCCTAACAGGGACTCCTGGTCCTGTGCTGAGCACGAGGGCACATGGTTAAGAGCCACTCCCCAGGAGTTCATGGCCTGTTGGGGGAGGGATCCCTAAGAGTGAAACACATAATGAGGCTCATATTCAGTCTAAGGGGTGGGGTGGGGGACCCTGTGTGGATTTGGGTTCTGATGTTCTGAACAGAAAAGTTACCTAGTCAGGTCCTAACTGGGCCAGGTCAGAATAGACAAGGTAGCAGGCAAGAGGTAGAGAAGCAATTTGCCTCAATCCTGCTTCAATCCTGAACAGGGCTTGCTAGAGCTGGCTGAGATGTTGCTGGGCTTCACCACCCTCCCTGTCTTTCCCACAGTGGGCAGGTGTGCTAAGCCGCCTGGCCCTGGAGCAAGAGCGCATCCTGAATCCCCTGCTGGACCGTGTTCGCACTGCTGACCACAACCAGCTGCGCTCTCTGACTGGCCTCATCCGAAATCTGTCTCGGAATGCCAGGAACAAGGATGAGATGTGTAAGTTGTTCTGTCCCTAACCCAGGGTCTCTCCAAAAACTGGTTTTTGGTTAGCAAGTCCAATGGAGTGCCAGCCACCAGGGGAGGCAGGGGCCTAGGTGCCAAGGCAGCAGGGAATGTGGTAGACTGACCCTGACCTCCTAACAGCCACCAAAGTGGTGAGCCACCTGATTGAGAAGCTCCCTGGCAGTGTGGGTGAGAAGTGTCCCCCAGCTGAGGTGCTGGTCAACATCATAGCTGTGCTCAACAACCTGGTGGTGGCCAGTCCCATTGCTGCTCGGGACCTGCTCTACTTTGATGGACTCCGAAAGCTGGTCTTCATCAAAAAGAAGAGGGACAGGTGAGGACCGACCCAACCCATGGCAGCATAGCCAGGATACACCCTGCCCATCCTACCTCCTAGCTCTGACCCTGACTCTCTTAAATTCCCCCAGCCCTGACAGTGAGAAGTCCTCCCGAGCAGCCTCCAGCCTCTTGGCCAACCTCTGGCAGTACAGCAAGCTCCACCGTGACTTCCGGGCGGTATGTTTTGCAAAGCCCAGGGAGCAGATGGGATGCCACCATCAGCACTGCAGTGCCTAGAGAACAGGGTCACAGCACATAAGGCCCAGTGTGGGGTATAGGTCATCAGGGAAGGGATGTAAGACTAGAACACAGAGGCAAGGGGCCCAGGCTATACCCAGCATAGTGTGGGGAGGACATGATCAGTGACAGCAAGGCCAGGCTACAGGTGCAATTCTGACCCCCCATTCCCTCTCCACTGCAGAAGGGCTATCGGAAGGAGGACTTCCTGGGCCCATAGGTGAAGCCACCTAGAGATGAAGAGGTTCAGCTTCCAAGAGACAGGCTCAGCCCCTGCTGCTCAACAGTCCGTGGAAGAAGAGCTGATGGCCACAGGGACTCTCCCCAGAGTCCTATGTGCACCTTCAGGGACCAGGGCCACCAGGAAAGGATGGGAGCTTACAGCTGGGGATGGCTTCTGCAGGGCAAGGGTTGGGGCAGGGCTTGAGCTGCTCTGGTGCATGGGGTGGTGACTCAGTCACAATGGCAGAGGTGGGGCTGCCTGAGGCCTGACAGAGCCTTGGGATAGCAACACTGGGAATAAAAGTGGCTATGAACACAGCCACAGTCCCATGTGCTTCCATGGCTGGCCACCTATCCTAAGATGTGCATTGTCCCCAAACATGCCCACTTGCCCCCAAAGACACACTCCCAGGTTCAAACCCAGGCCTCCCAAAGTCAGAGGAGCCAAGACAGGGAGGGAATATCTAGTATGGGTAGCAGACAGGGTGGACAGCAGAGACGGTGAGACTCAGTGCCACCTGAGGCATAGATATAGCAGGGCTGGGAACTTAATGAGCAGTGACCATGCAACAAATACATCTTATACCCTCTGCCCACCCTAGGCTGGTGCTGGGAGATGCCCTGGCCAGTGGGTCAGACTGGGTGCCCAAGGTTTGGGGTCCAGGAGAATCAGGGACCCTCTATCCATCTTACAGAAGCTACTATTAATACAATGAAAAAGCATCTTCAAATCAAAGAACTTGAGGTCTCCATATCTGTTCAGATGAGAGAGGGCTGGGGACTGCCACACTCCCAACCAAGTACTAGGCAGAGAGACTAGGAGCTACTCCTTCAAGAGTCATGCCATGGCGGG